AGGCAAGGGGAGGTTCAACCAGCTAGTAAAAGCGGTTTGTTGTAGGGAGTGTCAAAAGGAGAATCGACACTTTTAATGAAGATTATCAGTTATAATGTTATTGGGCTTGGTGGGACAACAAAAATGAAACATTTATCTTAATTGATAGGAAACAAAAATGATATAATGATAGTCTCACATTTACAATACGCAGACGACACAATTATTGGAGGGGTAAAAGGTTGGAAAAAATTTGGGCTATCAAAGTAACTTTGCAACTTTTTAAATTGGTGTCTTGTCTAAAGATAAACTTTCCTAAGAGCTTACTAGTTGACATTATTATATTCCAATCTTGGTTGGAGGAAGCAACATTCTGTTTTGAATTATAGAATTAGAATGTTTTTGATGTCTTAGTCTAGGTGCTTCTAGCTAGTTTGGGCTTTTCCTACTATGTTTGTTGGGTCCAAGTTCTTTATTTTCTTCTACCGTATGTTTTCATTTTTTTAAAAGATGATTTTCAGAAGATCAAGTGTCAAATGATGGTGTGGCATCTAGCATTGGATCCTCTCCAATTGGAAGGATTTTTTTTCCGTTTGTCCCTTGTGATGGAAGCTATTGTAAAATTTGGATTTGTGGCTACTATTGAAGTGATTTTCATTCTCCCCCCGTCCGTATGATCAGGTTTGCAGTTCCTTTTTTTGGAGTTGTGGTCTCGGAGTTCCCCTCTCATGGGCCTCCTATTTTGGAAAGTTTGCATATTTTAATTTGTCATTTGTGGTTCCAATCTATTGGTTTATGTTATATTTAAGTTATTGTTCTATTTTTTGCTTGCTGTTATAAGAGCATTTGGTTGTATATTCTTGGGTTAAATATGTTTGAGGTCCTCATAAATATCTCATATTTCAATTTTAGTCCCTCAAAAAATTTCCTTCAAAGAATGGTCTTCCAAAAAATTTTCATCCATACTTTTGGTCCCTCCAGCAATTTAGCAACGATTTTTACAACTTAGCGACAATTTTAGTGATGATTTCTACTTAGCGAATGAGTTAGCGATCATTTCCGCATGAGAGACCAAAAGTGTTGATGAAAAATTTTAGGAGGACCATTATTCGAAGAAATTTTTTATAGGGACTAAAACCAAATTTAAGTTATTTTTAGGGACAAAAAACATATTTAACCCTATATTCTTTTGTGTATATCTATTGGATTTGATCTATATTTTGGGCTTCTTCTAGTTTTGGATAACTTGTTTATTTTGTTGTACTTTGGTGTATATGGTTTGTAATGGAATTACTTATGCCAATTTATTTTATCTAATATATCTGTTGGTGAAATTCCATAGGGGATTGAAAAATGTTTTTTGATTTCCTTTGTTTTTTTTGCTTACATATCAAATGGTGGAGAACTCTCATTTATACTGAATGATAGAGCTCTCTAAAAATCATTAGTTATATGATACATGAACTTACATTAGTCTAAATACATGCTTTTAGAATATTTTGGGTACACACTTCTATAATTTTCTCGGTACATGCATTTATAATATTCTAGGTGAATGTTTCTAATACAAGCGTTTATTGATATAACACATTATTCATCATTTTTCCCTTTAATATTTCGTTCTTGAACTCTAAAATTTTTCTTAATTTCTGAATTTTTTTCTCTGGGAAGAGCTTTAGTAAAAATATCAGCAACTTGATCATTTGTCTTGTAAAAGCTTCTTATCTTCAATTTCTTCTCGAATGAAATGATGCTTGATGACTATATGCTTTGATCTTCCATGATAAAGTGGATTCTTAGCCATAACAATGGCTGATTTATTAACACAATTTTTTATTCACAACTAAAGTTGTATAAGTTGAATAACCTCTTTACTTTAGGTGATTAAACATAACCAACACATCTAAAAACTTTAAGGTTGTTTATCGAAGGATTTACGGTGTCATGTTCCATACAACTTTTGTTGGGCATCTATTCAGTAGGCACACAACTGTATTAACAACTTCACACCAAAATTCTTTAAGCATCCATTTCTCGAACAACATGTACTTAGCCATCTCTATCACAATTTGATTCTTTCTTTGGAATGCACCATTTTGTTAAGGTGTATAGTCAACAATCAACTTCCTCTCCACACCTTCTTCTTCATAAATATTATAAAATTCATTGGAAGTGTACTCTTTTCTCTATCACATCTCAAAACGTTTATAGACATGTCATTTTTTCTCAATAAAAGCTTTAAACTTCTTAAATATAAAAAATACTTCAAAATTTTATCTCATAAAATAAGCCCATGTCATACGGGTCAAATCATTAATGAATAGAATAAAATACCTATTTTATGCAGAGATAAGACGTTCGTAGGATCATACACATATGTGTGAACCATTTTGACATTTATTTAGCTCTTCTCGCTCCTTCCTTAGGAAATAGTTGTCGATGGTGTTTTTCAAATAAACATCTCTCACATACTTTATGTTTCTTTTTAATTATTGCCAACTCGAACACCATTTGTTTTTGAGAAAGTAAAGTGAAATTGTTGTAGTTTAAGTGTCCAAGTCTTATGTACCATAGATAAGAGTCGCCTTCTTCTCTAACCATCAAGATGCTATGTTTCTCATAATTAAGAAAAAGTGGAAAGATTATATTTTTGGTCATTTTTACAACAACAACACCTCTTCTTTTTGAATAAAAAATTCTGCACTATTGGTTCTCAAATTGAAGAGAATAACCATGCTCCAGTAATTGTCTAATGTTCAATAAATTTTCATCTAACTTAGGAACATATGTAGTATCATGAATAACCTTACCTCGTTTCTTTTTTGGAACTCCAATGATTCTTTTTCATTCAACTTCAACATATACACCATTATCTAATTTAACTTTAAAGCCAAATATGGGATCCATGTCAATGAAAGCATCTTTATCTCCTTTCATATGATTGCTACGTCTGTTGTTCAAGTACCACACGTTTTTATACTCTTGAGTTGATTTATGAAAAGAAGAAAAAAAGTTGACTTCACTATTTTCTGCTTCTGCAAATGAGACATGTTGCTGATTTTGTAAGCAACAATCTTTCTGCATATTCCCGAACCTTTTGCAATTATGACACTCTAGCTTGTCTTTGTTACAAAAATCTTTCTCTTCATGTGTGCTTTTCTTGTAGATGCCACAACATTCATTGAAGTGTCCAAAATTTCCTCGTCCTCCACATGCGTCTCTTCTTCTTCCACGAGAGTTTTCGCCTTGTACTCAGCCTCTAGCAAATCTGTCATCTTTAGAAGCCGTACCCTTATTTTAGAATACCAATTTCTCATTATTTGATTGAATGGTGAGCTTGGATTGAAACACACTTTCAAGTGACTTTTCATTGTGTCGTAACAACTTTTGCTGATAGAATCTAAGTGACTCCATCAACCTTTAGATAATCATGGTTGACAAATCCTTAGTTTCCTCTAGAACAACCCCCATAGGATCAATATTTTCAATCAAGCTAATTAAATTTTTATCCACAATTCTTCGATTTTTAATTGTATATCCATGAGACTTCATTTAATTCACCAAATCAATTAGAGTGTGTTTGTTTAAAAGATTAATCCTGAGAATATTATTCTCTAGAAAATTAATACAAACACTTTAATTGCCATTTATGTATTTAATAAATAATTGGATTCCTTGGAATATTTTTCAAATATATCTAATTTAATTTAAAATATATATATATAAGAGTTAAAATAATTTAGAGTGAGAGGTTATGAGTGGTTTTCTTTTATTTCTATGAGAATGTAAGATTCTAACCCTTTTGTATGGGAATAAAAAATAAAAAATTCATGAGTAAATTATATTAATTGGAATAAAAAACACGAAACAAACGTGAAAATCTGATTTTCAATTTCACATATCCTTAGAAATAAAATTTGAATTCATGAAACAAACAAACCCTTAGTCTATTAAAGTACTCATTCAAACTTTTATTTTCTTTCATCTTTTCATTTTCAAAATCTCTTTTTAAAGAGATAAGTTTAATTGTTCTCACCTTTAAATCTCCTTCAAACTTAACTTTTGTTGTAGAGTTTTTCTAGCTTCTTTGACAACAATTCTTAAAAAATTAATATTTGAGACTCCTTTTTGAATCATCCTAGGAACTCAAACATAAGATTTTTCTTCTTTTTATTCTTCATTTTGTGTCGTTGAGCACCATACTCTTGTTTGACAAACTCAAGACACCCAAAGATGTGAACAACGTCTCCATTTTTATTGCTCAAAAGTAATAATTTTCTCCTTCAAATAAAAAACCTTAGACATTGCTGTAGCTAGAGATGATGCTTGTTGAAACATTAATTGAGGAAGCCATGACTCTTCACTTTCAATCTCCTCTCACTCTTCTATGTTTTCTTTTTTTTCTTTAAGAATTTGAAGCTCTTGTTGATATTATTTTAGAGAGGACTCAAAAATACCTTTTGATTTCCTTTGTTTTCTTGTTTTTTTTCTTTCTTTCTATTATTAATTATTTGATATATGAACTCACCTAATAAATTAGGCTCAAATTCTATAAGTCTATTATAATTAATAGTTCTATTATAATTAATAGTGGTGAATTATTATTTTTTAGAAGAATTTAGATAGTGAAGAATTGATTTATACTAATATTATAAATAAGTGTTCGATGAATATAATTATAAAAAAAAATGAATGGAAAAGTTAATTTTATAATTGTTAACCACTTTTAATATAATCTCTCTCTATTTCTCTTAGTCTCAAAAATATGTTTATAACACTCACATTAACTTAGATAAATGCTTCTACAATTTTTTTAAGTAGATGCTTCTACGATACTCTAAATACATATTTTTAATACAAGATTTATTGATATAACACATTATTCAACTAACATCATTTTTTTGCCTCTAAAAAAATGGCATAATTTCACATCATTAATCAATTTTCACATGATTAATCAATTATGCCATATCATCCAAATTTGAATAAGAGCCTGAAATATAAAGGAGAGGCTAACTAACCTAAACAAATCTCTTGTTGACATAATCCTTAAAATCATGTAAAGCATCAACCGAACTTCTTGGAAACCCATTCCTAAACTTGTCACTAAGAACCTCAACATTCTTCTTCACTTCTTCATCACCCATCAACCTCTTTATCCCCATAACTATATCATCCTTACCCACATCTTTTGATAGATCCTCAGAAACCATGTAACCCACCTTAAGATAACTCACAACCAACTTAGCATCATAGTGTTGGTCACCCCTTATAGGCCATGCCAAAACCGGAATCCCACGTCCAATAGCCTCCAATGTCGAATTCCAACCACAATGAGATAAAAATCCACCCGTTGATTTATGACTCAGTATCAACAACTGTGGCGCCCAACCGCGTATGATCATGCCTCTACTCCCAACTCTTTCATCCAATCCATGAGGAAAATATCCTTCCGGCTTACTTGAACCGGATTCTTCTACTAAACCAAAACCTGGTGGACCCGGTCTACCTGAACCGGATTGAATTACCCATATAAACGGTTTTCCACATGACTCCAGTGCTTCAGCTAGTTCCGCGTATTCTTCTACTGTTGGTCCCACCTCCGTACCGAATGACACGTATAAAACTGATCCATGTGGCTTCGAATCTAACCATTGGATCACTTCTTTCTCGGTCACGCTGGATAACCGGTTCCACCGGAAATCACTGTCGTAGAGAACTGAACCGGAGGTTTTCCAATACTGCTCTGGCAAAAGCGGTCCAACACCGTACACTGGTTTTCCCACGTAGCTTGCGATGTAGTTGAGAAATGGACGCTCCAGATCATCACACGTGTTGATCAACAACGCAGTTGCTTCTTGTGTCTCATTCAGCCATGGTGGTTCTTCTCCATCTTTAGGCGGGCCCTTCTTTCCAGGTCCAAATGGTGGCGGAGGAAAGCCGTGCTGTGGAGGCGGATGAGGAGGAGGGTTGTGATTACGCCGTTTTATATCCGAGTAGGTAACCGCCATCTCATCTGGTAAACCGGGAAGAAAACGGATTTCGCCGGGTTTCAAGTCAAAAGGCTGGGCTTTCCATACAGCAAGCTCCATAGAGGCGGAGCATGCGCCGGCGGTGAAGAACGCCACCGTTGGAATTTTAAACTTTTGGAAAATATTGATCGACCAGCTCATCATGGCGTCGACAATTGCACAAACGGGTAGGGTTGGACGATGGTAGTTAGAGAGGATATTTTGGAGTCCTTCAGCAAGCTCGTAGTGGTGTTCCGGCGAAGGAGGTGGTGATGGGATAAGGGTGAGTTGAAAGAGAGGGTGTTGGTAGAGAGAAGAGGGAACGGAGGTGGAGAGGGTAGAGGAGATGAGAAGGTTGACGTGGAAGTTTGAGGAAGTTAAATGGTTGCATAGTTGGAAGCATGGTAAAAGATGGCCGGTTCCGAAAAATGGTAAGATGCAAATTTCTTGAGACATTTTGGTTATTGAAGTTATCAATGGATTGTGATGTTTGTGTGAGATGGTGGGGGTTTGGTTTTATAGTATTTGAAATATTGATTAGCGTATAGGATAGAACCGACAAGAGATGAGGAAGGAATGAACAAGAAGAAGATTTAATATCATTTGACTGTCAGTTGGATTTGGAGACGAGTAGATAGATGGTATGCGTGTCAATCATCGCGTGCACGTACTCTTGGAGTTGCATGGTTGATGATGGTTTCATTCTCATTCTTTTCGGTGGTATAAATATTGGAGTTATGTCAATAGATTGACTTAACTCGTACAAATTAAATAAAAATCGTTATCGTATTTTATTATTTTTAAAAAGAAAGAGAAAAAAATGAATAAGCCCAAAAAAGAGAGAGAATCTAAGTATGGAGTTTGATTATGCAAATAGAAGATATTAGTACTCTAAACATTTAAGGTACTCTGCAAAAACTTTTTTGAAAATCTATGTATTTTAGCTATAAAAGGTGGATACAAAATAAGATGGTGGAGATGGGAAAAGACTTATTTTTTTTCAATTTTTGCATCCGTCGCAATTGCGAATATTTAATGTCTATGTACCACTTTTCGTGCAATAGGGGATCGAGGTACTCGTAGTTCACCTCAAAAATTTTAAAACACATGTGTGTTGGTTAATTTTAAGAGAAGAGACATCATCGTCATATTCGAGTGAAAAACATACTTACTACCCACAATTATGAGAAAGAAACATTTGCATCATCTCAAAGTGGAGGACATAGTCTTGAATTTAAAATCAACAAGATATCACTCAACACCCAAGTGGAAAATGACTCACTTCACTACATATCGTAGAAGTATAGTAGCTTGCATCACTACAAGAATCAACAAGGGTCTAATCTTTTGAATTTTTTTTTCAAAATAAAAAAGTCAAAGTGGCAAAAATGGTTTGAGTGAGGTTAATGACTTTTAGTCTTTTAAAAAAGATGTCAAAGTATCATTAAATTGATTAAGGGTTTGATTAAGAAAAAAAACGATTTTGAAAATGCATGGACCTAAGTCCAAGTTTATAATGAAAGTTGTTCAAGTTTGAAAAACAAAAAGAGTTTTGAAAAAGGGGGAGACAATTTTGAAATGGAAGAAGATGAGAGGAGATGAAGGGACTATCCTATGCACATAATATAAAAGCGAAGATAAAGAACAGTCTAACCCACAAGAAGCCAACACTTGACATGAAGAAGTCAATGTAGAATTCTTATCCTTTGGATTAAAACCAAGCAATCAAAATACTAAACCTTAGATGAATATCAAGCTTCAGATAAATTAAGAACCAAACAAAGTCTTCACTGATAAAAAATTGGCCAGAGTAACAACTGTATACAGAAGAATTCTGAATCACAGACAAAATATGAAATCAAAATAGCTTGCACACAGAAAAATTCAAACCAATGCCTTGGAGTAAACCCCAAGGACTTTAGAAAATCTTCACAAAAAATATCAATCAAAGATCATAGAGTCCAAGGTCTCAGGACTTTTAATCCTAAGTCTCAGGAATCCATAATTCCAAAATATCAAGGATAGTAACCAGATAATCCAAGTAACCTTAACATTTTTTAATGTTCAAGTTGATTATTAAGTAAATTTACAAAAATAAGATAAAGCTCAAGTGAGCAAATATAAAGAAGACAGAAAGTAAATACTTAAGTGGGCAAAAGATAAATAGCATGAGATGTAAATGCTTAAAGGTAAATGACATAAAGTAAAGACATAAAATAAATGCATAAAGTAAAAGCATAAAGTAAAGTCAGTGGTTAATAGTCAATGGTTAGAAGTTAGTAAACATCCTCAAGTTTATTGTGAAAAAAGAATGAGCTCAAGGAGATAAAACATGACCTTCTTATCAAAAGCTTTCTTCATTCTTTTCTGTTATAACTGACCATCACACAAGGCCTTCATTATCTTTTCTTAAATCAAATTCAACTAGTCAAACATGTTCTGGACTCATTCAACCTCTGAAAACTTGGTTTCCATTATCACACGCAAAGGAGAATTTCCACCTTGATAGGAAGCACTGCTTCCATGCCATACATAAGAGAAAATGAAGTTGCCCTTGTTAAAGTGAGGAAGGGTGTACGATACCCATGCAAAGTAAAAGGAAGCATCTCATGTCAATCCTTATAGGGGACAATCATCTTTTGGATAATCTTCTTAATGTTTTTATTAGCAGCTTCAACAACCTCATTCATCTTAGGCTTGTAAGGAGACGAGTTGTGATGGACAATCTTGAATTCTTCACAAAGTTTCGTTATCATTTTATTATTTAAATCTGAGCCATTGTCAGTGATAATCCTGCTTAGTACACTATACCGATAGACAAGGTTGTTCTTGATAAACCGTACTACCACTTGTTTGGTGATATTAGTATAAGAGGCTGCTTCCACCCATTTGGTGAAGTAATCAATTGCCACTAAAATGAAACGATATCCATTTGACGCCTTGGATTCAATCATCACAATCATATCAATACCCCACACAGTGAAAGGCCATTAGGAAGAAATAACATTGAAAAGTCTCAGAGGCACATGAATCTTGCCAGAATAAATCTGACACATATGGCACATCTTTGCAAATTTGTAACAGTCAGATTTCATTATCAGCCAATAGTAACCTACCTTATGCATCTTCTTTGCCATCGAATGTCCATTAAAGGATCCTTCATGAATCTCATTATTAACATATCTGCTTCGTGTCTATCCACACATATGAGCAAGCCATGTCGTAATTTCTTTTGTATAACACATCTCCATTGAGGAAAAAGCTACATGTCAACCTTCTCAATGTCTTCCTATCTTTATTCAACGCACCAACCGGGTATTCTCGAGTCTGAAGGAAGTGCTTAATATCATAATACCAAGGTTTATCATCTGATGTCACCTATGTAGCAAACACATGAGCTAGTCTATTAAGACGCCGAATTGTAATCTAAGGTATATCGTTCCAAGCATTCACTTGATACATATAAGCCAAAGTGGCTAAAGCATCTGCCATCTGATTCTCGTCTCGGAGAATATGATGAAATTCAACCTTATTAAAGAAAGATAATAATATCCTTACATAATCTCTGTAGGGAATCAAGCCAGAGTAACGAGTCTCCCATTCTCCTTTAATTTGATTTATTACCAAAGCTGAATCACCATATACATCAAGAATTTTGATTCCGATATCCATGGCCTCTTCAAGATCTATAATACAAGCATCATATTCTGCCATGTTATTGGTACAATCAAATGTTAACCTTGCAGTGAAAGGGATATGAGACCCATGGGGAGTTATAATCACAACATCAATTCCTTTTCCATAAGCATTTACAGCTCCATCGAACACCATACCCCGTCGGGATTTAGGATCAGAACTTTCCTCATGCAATGGCTCATCATAGTCTTTAACTTTTAAATACATCATATCCTCATCAGGGAAATCATACTTAATAGACTGATAATCCTCAACTAGTTGGTGAGCAAGATACTCTGCCAACACACTACTTTTATAGCTTTCTGAACACGATATCAATATCATATTCAGACAACAACATCTGCCAACAGGAAATTCTTCTGGTAAGAGAAGGCTTTTCAAAGATATACTTAATTGGATCCATTTTGGATATCAACCAAGTAGTATGGTTCACCATATATGGTCGCATACGCTTTACGGCCCAGGCCAAAGCACAACATGTCTTTTCAAGCATAAAATATAGTGACTCGCAGTCAGTAAACTTCTTGCTCAGATAATAAATGGCATACTCTTTTCTCCCTATTTCATCTTGCTTTCCCAAAATGCAACCCATAGATTTATCCAACACAGTTAGATACATAATTAATAGTTTCCTTCAACAAGATGAAGAAAGATAGGAGGTTCAAGTAGATACTCATTAATGCTTTCAAATGCCCTTTGGTAATCACCCGTCCATACACAACCTTAATCTTTCTTCGGAAGCTTGAAGATTGGTTCACATGTTGTAGTCATATGAGAAATAAACCTGGAGATATAATTCAGACGCTCGAGGAATCCTCTGACTTGTTTTTCAGTTCTTGGTGCAGGAATTTCTTGAATTGCCCTAACTTTATCAGGATCAACCTCAATTCCTTTTTGGCTGACAATAAAACCCAACAATTTTCGTGAACAAACACCAAAAGTACACTCATTCGAATTTAAGCAGACACGATACTTCCTCAAACGCTGAAACAACTTTAACAACTCTTTCAAATTCCCTTCCTCTGTCTGAGATTTGGAAATCATATCATCAACATATACTTCAATTTCCATATGGATCAAATCATGGAATAAGATTGTCATAACCCTCTGGTACGTTGCACCAGCGTTCTTCAACCTGAAGGACATCACTCAGTAATAGAATGTTCCCCAGGGTGTGATAAACATTATTTTTTCCATGTCCTCAAGAGCCATCTTAATTTGACTGTATCCAGAAAATCCGTCAATGAACGAGAATACTTTGAATTTTGTTGTATTATCTACCAACATATCAATATGTGGTAATAGGAAATAATCTTTTGGACTTGCTTTATTCAGATCTCTATAATCAACGCACATGCAGACTTTTATGTCTTTCTTAGGTACTAGAACAATATTGAAAATCCATTGAGGATATACTGACGTCACAAGAAAACCAGCATCAATCTATTTCAAGACCTCCTCTTTAATCTTCACTGCCATATCGGGATGAGTTCTTCACAACTTTTACTTGATAGGCAGGCATCCTGTCTTCAACAGTAAATGATGTTCCACAATATCGATGTACAACCCAAACATGTCTTGATAAGACCAAGCAAAGATATCAACATATTCCTTCAATAGCTCAATCAACCTGCTCTTCACATCGGGATGAAGCAGTGCCACAATCTTGACTTCTTTCAAATCTTCCTCTGAACCCAAGTTTATCATTTCCAATGGCTCTTTATATGGCTGAATGGTATTCTCCCCGCGCTCAAGCAACC